ATAGCTTGGTCTATATTGACAGAGCTACTCTGGAACAAATTTATACTGGTGTGTGTATGAGAAAACTGTCAATACAGATCCATTTTAATAGCATCAGATATTAAAATTTGTGAATAAATTTATTTACAATATATGAGATTTGAGGTTGGATATTAAGATCATAGCCCTGTGGGATGTTATGCCCTGTTACGCTGCACAGCATAGCATCCCACGAGAGCATGAGAACATATATGTTTACAAGGCTATGATGACACACTCCATTTGGGAAGCTACATTCTTTGGTATATTTTTTGTTAATATATTATGTTTCACTGCCTGTGATTGGTGTTTACATTCTGCAGTGTATTTAACCTTGTTTATCATAATTCAGTAGACATGCTAGTTTTATTTACTATGTTAGTATGTACATATTATTATACTGTATTTACATTTTAATTTATACATGTCATTTCATCTGAATTTAGTTGTATGATGAAATCATCGATGTGGTCAATGTGAATAAAATATATAAAACTCAATAAATGTATGAGTATATAAAATTAATTCTCTGTATGCAGTAATGGCATAACTAGCAAAGCAAGTCTGACAGCAGTAACAGTCTTGGTGCAGAAATGATGTAAGGCACAATTTAAAAATATTTCTTATGGATGATTAAAAATCTGATAAATCAGCCATCAGTTTCTGCACGTTTCAGAGATAAATACTTTATTGCAATGCAGCAAAAATCATTATCCTGACAACAAATCACTTATACTCATTCCTTCCTAATATTTTTGATCATTTTGATCATCATAGTTGACTTCCGGTTTATCGAACATTATTTCATCACCAAAAATGTAATATAAACAATGGTCACATGGTCAGATTTTTGTACGCAGGACTCCATCTCCACACACAACTAAACACTCTGAAGCACTTAAAATGTCTTATGTCTGCAGTTTCTGCAGACAACATGATATTTCCAGTCTTGGTGTTGCATGAGTAGACATCTCAATGCCTTGTTTTCTCGCTCCAAGTATGACACCCTGATTGCGAGTTCATCCTCTTTTGCCCTGCGGAGATCTCGTGACCGCTTTGCCGCAGCATTGTTTTTCTTCCGTTTTAACAGATATGCTGCATCTTTTCCATTTGAAGGAGTTCCTTCTGTGGATGGTGACTGCTGTGGACTTGGTGTGTGCTTTGGTACTGGGGCACTCTTTTTACTTTCACCGTTCCTCTTTGCGGCTTCTAGAAAAGCCAACACCCTATTCCTGTACTCCGTGTATGATTCACCTGTTGCACCACTGGGCTCTTCCAAATGGACTGGTATTGCATTAAATGGTCTTGTAAATTTCTTTGCTGGATTTCCAGCTGTTACTGGCATGTCTGGTAGATCGTTCCCAGTAATCTGAAATGCCGGTAGCTGGAGTCCGAGAGGTGAAGGTGATAATCCTGGTAAGCTGTAATTTGATGAGCTATTTCCAGGTGTTGGAACTTCTTGTGTGGTTGGTGGCTCCTCAGTGGATGGTGTGCGATGGAACATCACATACTGTGGGAAAGAGGGGGCTGGCTGCATATCTCTAGAAGTGGAAGGGATAGCAACTGAATGCAATGGCATATAACGAGGAGATGGTACTGAACACATATCTGGAACCAAGGGTGGGGAGACTGGATTAGAGGGCTGCAGAAGCAGCTGAGGATGTCTACTAATCACACTGGCAGTCTGTGGAATGTGGGGGTATTTTATAAAAGGACGAAAAGATGATGTTGAAGGCTGACTATGATTTAAAGAAATGTCTGTAGGTGGCGTACAGCAGTCTTGTGCAATGACTGCTTCCTCTTTACGACTGCGAATACTGAGATCTAGGGCATCATCTGTATGTTGACGATAGTCTTGTGAGCCTGGTGATGAAAAGTCAGCAGGTCGATGACTGTACTCCATTGATGAGAATTGCTGTAATCCTGTGCTCAAATTGGATGGCAGCTGCGCATGTAGGGAAACCATAATATTGCTGTGGAAGGAAACGAATACATCAATGACATAAACGAAAGAATGTTAAGCATATAAATTACTTTGGATAAAAAGATAAATATACACTTACTTACTTACTCATGGAGCTGAGCCCTTCTTGAGGAGTCGCCAATTCTGCAGCTACTCAAGAATTTCCCAGCATTTTATGGAACCCGAAGGTTCATCACTGTGTTCACAAGAGCCCTCCACTGGTCCCTATCCTGTGCCAGATCTATCCAATCAATACCATCCCATCCTATCTCTCTAAGATCCATTCTAATATTGTCCACCCACCTACGCCTGTGGTCTCTTTCCTTCTAGCTTTCCCACCAATATCCTATACGCATTCCTTGTCTCCCCCATTCGCCCTACATGACCTACCCACCTCATCCTCCTTGACTTGATCATTCTAATTATACTTGGAGAAGAGTACAAGTTATGAAGCTCCTCATTATGCAGTTTTCTCCAACCTCCTGCGACTTCATCTCTCTTTGGTCCAAATATTCTCAACACCCTGTTCTCAGACACCCTCAGTCTATGTTCCTCCCTTAATGTCAGAGAACAAGTTTCACACCCATACTGAACCACAGGCAAAATTATAGTTTTATATATTCTATTTTTTATGTTTCTGGACAACAGACAAGAAGACAAAAGGTTCTGGACTGAATGGTGATAAATATACACACACTTAACAATATTGTTTCGTTTTCAGTTATATTCTATCAAATGCTCATTCCAAGTGAAGGAAATAGTTAGGACTTTTTATATTTTGATACAGCAAAAAAATCAGAGAACAAAAACAGTTAATAAATGTTTCGATATCTTCGCAAAAGAAATTGTGAATGAAGCTAAGTCAAAATTGCATTCATGAAGAAATCAAGAGATTAAATTTGGGAATTGCTTGTACCTTTCAGTTCAGTGTCTGAAAAGCTAAAAAATAAAAAACAATGGATGATGTCCAAAAAGTCAACTGTGTCAGAAACCCTTGTTTTTTTTTACAAAAGAAAAAGATTGAAGCACAAGAAACTGTAAGTTTGTCTGTAATCTTGTATGGGCATGAAACTGGGCCTCTTAAAGGGAGAATAGTTTCAGGGCGCCTGAGTACAGGGTGATGAACGGAATACTTGGACCTGAAGAAGAGGAAGTAAGATTGGGCTGGAGAATACTTAATAATGTGATGTATTTGCGGTATGCAGGACACCCCCCTCCAATGGTGACGTAATAGCATCGGAGAAAATTTCGCTGCTATGGTAACAGGCCAGGCAACACTGTCCCCTCCCCTGCGGTGATGTAACAGCACTTCCCACAGTGACATAACAGGAGATCCTCACCAAATATAATTAGGGTGATCAAATGAATTGGATGGGCAGAGCAGGTCATGTAGCATACATGGGAGAGGAACAGGGAAATCAGAGATAGCAAGAGATGTATTCGTAGATGGGATATTAACAAAATTAATCTTAAGGAAACAGGTTTGGAGGATGTGGACTAGGTTAATCTTGCTCAGGATTGGGACCGTTGGTCAGCAGTTGTGAACAGAATAATGAACCATCAGGCTTCATGTAATGCTGCATACTTTTGAGTAGCTGAGCAACTGTTGGCTTCTCAAGAAACGAATTATTTCCATGGAGTAAAAGTAAAGTAATCCCTGTGTTTAAGCACCACGTCTGAAGGCATATGGGGGAGTGGAGGTAGAGTTTCAGCATTCCTAACGTTGGTATTACATGAATTTTGAGTGGCAATCTTCATGTCCCCCCCTTGTACCTAACAGATAAACTGGGTGGGTCCCAGAGCCGGTCTTGAAACTGTGGAGAAGAGAAGAAATGTATTTCCTCTACCGGAAATAGAGCCCAGATTCCTCGGTCGTCCATCCAATTACCTAGTTGCTATACCAGAAGTTTTTTTTAGAAAAGATGAGAGTGCAATAAAGGGACACCTCTCAGTGATGAGGGAAGCTAATGGTGTCAGGGCGCAGAAGATAACGTTTATGCATACATCACTAGCTCTGCATTTTCAGAGGGATCCATGTTAAACGGAAAATGCATAATTTATTTCCGTGCTATTTTTCATGATAAATAAAAATTGAGCCAAGTATATGTTGCTGCCTCATCAGCAGAATGTAGGGCAAATTCATGATATAAAGATGGGAAACAGATGTTTTGAAAATGTGGCACAGTTCAGATATTTGGAAACGATAACAAATCAAAACCTGATTCAGGAGGAAATTAAGAGGCGATTGAACTCGGGTAATGCTTGCTACCATTCAGTCCAGAACCTTTTGTCTTCTAGTCAGCTGTCCAAAAGCATAAAAAATGCATATAGGATACTGGTGGGAAAGCCAGAAGGAAAGAGACCACTGGAAGACCATGGTATAGGTGGATGGACAATACGAATATGGATCTTAAAGAGAGAGAGGATGGGATGGTATGGATTGTATTGAGCTGGCTCAGGATAGGAACCAGAGCAGGGCTCTTGTGAACAAGGTAATGAACATTTGAGTTCCATAAAATGCTGGAAAATTCTTAAGTAGCGGCTTCTCAAGAAGGTCTCAGCTCCATAAGTAAATAAAAATGGAGTGTCTAAGAAATGTGTCTTATTTCGTCTATGTTTTATTTTTAAATTCGCTTAATAGGAGTGGAATCCAGCTGGGTCCACTCGGCACGGCGGCCACTGATTGGCCTATTGTAGCCTGCCTCGGGTGATGATGAATTTGGTGGAATGAAGATTGGTAGGGGAAACTGAAGTACTCTGAGAAAACCTGCCCCACTGCCACTTTGTCCACCATAAATCCCACTTGACGAGACCCGGAATCGAACCCGGACCCCCGCGGTGGGAAGCCAGCGACTAACCGCTTGAGCTATGTCGCGGTCTTTCGTTTATGTTACTTCTTCTTCTTCTATGGCGAAACTGCCCGATGTCGGGCCTTGGTCTCCCTTAGGAAGCCCCTCCATTCCTCTCTATCCTGCGCTACTCTCTTCCAGCTCCTTACACCCATACCTAGAGAGTAGTCCATATTCTTTGCCAATTGTCGTCTTCCATTCTGTTGAGGTTTCCGAGGCTTGATTCCAGGTTTCGAGACATTTGTATTTATTTTAAGGTGAGAGGTCGTCAGCCTCTCGCCCAACCCTCAACCTGGAGGACCAGGGTATCTCTTTTAGTCTGGGTCATCCCCTTCGGCCTGTCCGGCATGGGTGGCTCTACCAGTACTATCCTACCGCCGACATAGCTCTCAGGGTCATTTGACCACGCAAGTCCCTCCACTACGTCAAAGTAGAGACATCGGGGGGATGTTACTTTTATACCAAAGAGAAATTGTAAAGAATAAGACGTGAAGTTTAACAAACATGTTCAAAAACAGAGCTACGGTTTTGAAATGTTCCATACAGGTCAGAGTTTCTCAGAACTGCGTTCTCCACAGAACACCTAACATGGTAGGGCACAAAATTCTTTGAATTCAACAGTCAGTCCATAACATACAAAAGTAAATATTTTCTAGAAAAGTTTAAGACATTTGACAGATTACCAGATCGTCTGCAACAGTCAGAATCACAGAAGTCGGCATAGTGACCATGGTACATGCTGCACGATCGAGGAATTGGTGTTTAATTCCCGGCAGGCGCAAGACATTTTTCTCTTCCCCACAGCTTCCGGACCAGCTGAGTGGCCCACCTAACTTCCTATCCAAAGGTACCGGGGACTTATTCCGAGGGGAGGGGGTAAATAGACTGTACTTAATGCTGACCACTCATCTCCATCTAGTGCAGAGATTAAGAATGTGTGGAGCTATAACTTCACTCCCCCCATACGACTTATGTTGTGGCGGCTAATTAATTAAGCACAGAGATAGTTTTTAAAGTTTATTTGGCATAGCGTGTCAATAATAATAATAATTTCTGGGCGCTACAGTCGGTTGGACTCTTTGGGAGAGGGACCAGCCGGCCGAACGTCCGCTCTCTACACAGGACGACACTGGACACAAACGCAAACATTCACGCCTGGAGTTGGATCGGGCCCACGGCCCAAGTGTTTAGCTGGCTAATTCAGTTCATGCCTTAGACCGCGCGGCCACCGCGATCGGCAGACTGTCTCAAATTTTGCGCTTTCAGTAAAATACGGCAACATGGCAAAGTAAAATTTGTTTGAGAATTGTTAAATTTAGCAAATATTTCTAAAAAAAAGTATCAGTTTGAGAAGGTTCGCTACATATTGTCAGAGTGTTTAAATTTTAGGTTTTTCCATACAATACCGTAATGCGAATGAAGCAAAAGTGTCTGAATTCAAAAGTCAGTTCCGTGCCTTCCACAAACTTTTTAAGTTCTGCGAATACTTAAAAAAAAGTACAGTTTTAAGAAGTTTAACACATACCACCAAAGCGTCTCGAATTTTACGCTTTACATATCATGCCATAATATGGTAAAATAGAGAACTGTCTGAATTCAACAGCCACTTCCGTAACATCTAAAAATTAAGTTTAGCATAAAATCTTTAAGATAAAATAAACGAGCATAAAGAAGGCTTGTATAGACTGTCCACCTGTTATGTAAGAAATCTTTTCACTGACAATTATTAAGCACTGGATATTTTAAAAATGTATTCTCAAGATCTGTATCTTTAAAACTGTAAATAAAGAAGAAACATGAAAATAGAAATAATTTAATCTTTTCCACATTCTCCATAAACACGAACCAGACTGAGTTCCCATTGACTACAGTGTGTAAACTGTATATATGAAAGAAATTTGTTTTCCAAAATGTAGAAGACAGAAAAATGCCAAGGCTGTCACTTGAATCTGTTTTATAATTTAAACAGCGACTGGGCTGAATAGTTCTGTTGTCTGGAATACAATGCTGTCTGATACGTTGAATTTAGTAAAGATTAATTAGACTTACCAGGAAACAGATGGAGAACCACTGCCGAAGAATGTACCTGCGACAAGCCAACTAGCCACTATGCAGACTTAAAGAGTTCTGTCTGAATGTTCGAAGCTCTGTCGATCATAACAGATGATGCCGATAGTGCGGACAACCCTTGCCAGCCAATCACCGTCTAGAGGGTGGGGGATGGTCAAGAGAAGGGGTTATTTTTGGCAACAGTGACGCGTGCCTTCCTTAAGGACTAAATAGGCCTGGTAGTACAGCTCGTTTCGGAAACATTCATACTTCCTGGTGAATAAATGGAGGAACAGGTCGGAGGGGAATGTAGTTTAATGGGGTGGTCAGAAATATATATATATACATATATAAATCTCCACAGTGTTCAGACCGGCTCTGGGATCCATTCAGTATCATCCAATGGGTACCGGAGGCTATTTTCCCTGGGATGAAGTGGCCAGAGGGTGAAGCTGAACACTCACCTTCATCTAGTATCGAGATCAAGAATAGTGAAAATATATCACCACTCCCTCCATACGTCTTCATGGCGTGGTGCTTAATTAAGCAGATGGATGACTATCTTACTTTTTTGAAGAAGCAGGGAATGAGGATATTGTATGGATTCAACTGGCTCAGGATAGGGACCAGGGGCGGTAATAACTTTTGTGTTATATAAAGGACGGAGAATTTATTGACCAGCTGAGTGACTGTTAGCTTCTTGAGAAGGACTATGCTGTATATAGTTATTTCAGAGACTCCTAGAATGTCTACGTTTGAAAATAGACAAATTTTTAGGATATTTATGGACAATGTATCACACACAGCATGTCGCGGAAGCAGGAATGGTAATTTGTGTAAGGATTTTAATGAAAGCGGTCGTGACTTACTTCATGATATTATCTTGGCAAGCCCCTAAGTGCCTGCCTCCATCTTCAGGGTAAGCCGTGAAGGTAAAAATTATAGGATATGGGATTGGGAGCCCTGCGGCGGGATTATAAGAGAACCAATAGATTCCTGTGGCCCACAGAATGGAATTCTATTAACCTCGGCGTCTAGTGATATATACTGCAAAAGGTCTTCTTCGGGTTTTCGCTACGGCGAGTGTTCGGATAGCGATACCGTATAGTCCGGTAGGTGTATATCACGCTACCTATATAACCTGGTCAAATTCTCACCCTAACCGAGTAGAATCTGAAGACAGAAGCAGTATGTCCCTCCGAAACATCGACATTCATCTCCAAGCTTACACAGTGCCAAAACCCAAAACACCATAATCTGTTATGTAATGTTACATTTGAGTTTCTCGCGGCAATGGCTTTGAAGAGTACTATCGTTTAGCATTTGATGCCGTGCAGTCTGGTAGGAATTTACTAACCTTTCGGAGAAATAATGCTTGTTTGCTATTTGCTGGTTACTTGCAAGATTTACTCTTCCACCCTGAAAATTGGGGCAGTACGTTCCTCCGAAACGTCGGTAAACAAGTAACAGACTACATAGCGTCATATACAGGAAGACAGGATATTCTGCTTCTGTTGTCTGTCTAAATGGGGTGGTGTTTACATATCGGAAACCATGAGACTGACGTCACCAATAACATTGCGTGTTTTGCTGGCTAAAACGCCTGCAAATTTCACATAGATTGCTCCTGCCAACAGATATGATAGAGAAGTTGCCGACGAAGCAGGGCGCTACGGTCAATATCGGAGCAGAGCTTAGGAGGAGGGATTCGAAACTTTCCACAAGTGATAGCTACAGTTTAGGTAAAGCTGTCCTATAAAAGGTAACGTTGTCATTGTGTTAAATGATTAAGCACCATGCCATGAAGATGTATGGGGCAATGGAGGTATAGCTTCACTATCCTTGACCTTGGCACTAGAAGGAAGTGAGTGGTCAGTTTAACCCCCAGAAATACAGCCCCCAGAACCCCCTAGATTGAAAGCTAGGTGGGCCCCAGAACTGATATGAAGGCTTTGAGAAAGACGAACATCAGATTCCCTTGTCGGAAATCGAACACTTATTCATTGGCTGTCAAGCCTGCAGCCTATCACTATATTAAAGAGTACGCCGTGTCGGCCGTTGAAAGTCAACCGACGTTTCGGAAAAATATGTCGTCTCCGTCTTCAGGGTTAAAGAATACCAAGAAGGGATCCATCGTGAACGTAGGTGTCAAGCAGAGTTCTGACCTCGTGAACGTAGGTGTCAAGCAGAGTTCTGACCTTGAGATGGAGGCAATATGTTCCTTCGAAACGTCGGCTGACTTTAACAGAATACACGGGGTTATATCGCATAATATATTTTCCAGTCAAATTCTACAGAACTATAAAGTATTTGTGCTACATGTCCGATTAATCTAAGACTTAAAATTATACTCTTCTGGGAAGTGATACCGTGTAGTCAGATACAGAAATATAAAAATTTCGGAAGAACCTGCTGCCTCCATCTTCACTGTAAAAGCAATGGAGACGTGTCTCGGAATCTTTGGTATCAGTTCTACTGAACTACACTTCTTTGGCTGCCACCTCCTTTCACGCTGTTTCTTGCTTGGCTTATTATTCGTTATTCGACCCTGAAGATGGAAGACACATATTCCTCCGAAATACTGGTTACCTTTCAACGGACTACACGGCATTATATCCCATAAGACAGAACTTATAACAGTTCATTAGTTTTTCACGGATTCGGTTATATGATTCATGTCTGAAAAATGTTTTTGCTATAAGCAGTACACATTCGTGGTGAAGTTGTTTATAATGAGTTGCTAAATACTCTTGGTGGAGCCGGAGGGGTTGGAAAAGGGAATGGCGTAAAGGTTACCGTAGATTCTATAGGACAGTCATACGATCTTCGTACAAAACAGGAATAAGTCTTGACCGTAGTGAATCGCGTCTTCTCAAGACTTGCGTGTTTCTCCATCATTGCCGAGCGTCAAGACTGCTTGAGGGAAGAAAAGCTTTCGCTGCAAAACCTGCAAGAAAGAAACCACTTGGGCGGCCTAGACATAGATGTGAGGATACTATTACAATGTATTTTACAGTAACTGTGTGAAACTGGGCACTGGATTCACCTGTCTCAGCATAAGGACCAGGGGCAGGATACAAATGAATTATCTACTTCCATAAAAGGCGAAGATTTTTTGAACAGATGAGCCACCATTAGATTCTAAAGGAGGAATCTGTTCTATGGAGTTATTTAATTAGTCTGTTGTCAACATCACTGCTATCAGGTGTCGCTAAAATGGAAAAAGTTTGGAGATATGAATGGTGGAACAGAACTGAAACATAGCGTTCACATTATTCTCCAAGTCTATGCAGGATGTCTTTGTCCTTCTCCTTCATATTTAGACAAAGGAAGCTCTCCAATCTGTGTTCATATTCTTCCACTAAATTTTTATTTCGTTACTGATTTTGGAATTCTGTCGTCCACCATCTCGCCCAAAACATGCTTGCCATTTCTCGCTCTGCTCTGTTCCCATTTCCTTCAAACAGTATTCTTTCATTTGGTTTTAACGTCGCTATTTCTTGTGTTGACTCATAGCTCCAATTCCTACAATGAAAAATCATACCAGCCTCTTTGCTCTAAAATGCCACTTCCGTTTAGATACACTGGGAAATACATCGTTTTATTAATTTTTTAATGGCTCTCAGCCCATTCGGGGCCCAGGCCTCTTATTCGGTTCCGTAATCATTTTTCACAGACGGTAGGACTCACTGGATGAGCGATCAGCCCGTCGCAAGGTCGCTACCTACACACAGGACAGTACAAACACAGAACAAACGCATACACATACCCAACATCTATACTTTAAGTGGGATTCGAACCCACCATATCAGGGTCCGAGCGAGCGAAGACAGTTCATGTCAGACGGCGGGGCACTGTGACCGGCTTTATTAAATTTTATTTGAATATAATTCCTACTTATATGTGTCAAATGTTGAGTAGTTTTATCTTGTGGGATATAACGCCGTGTAATCCGTTGAAAACGAGCCGACGTTTTGGAGGAACGTGTAGCCTCTATATTCGGGGTCGAATAATAAGCTTAGTGAAAAAATACAGCGTGGAAGCAGGTGGCAAGCACGCTTGTTTCTGTCTTGACTTATAGTACGACCCTGACAATGAAGGCGAAATATGTTTCCGAAACGTCGGTAAAGCTTCAACGGACTATATGAAATTATATTCTTCGTAATCACAGCTGTGAGAAGATCAAATCTAGCATGTCCTATGTACAGTCCCATAGATAAGATTACTCGTACATTATAATATATATCATTTTGAATATTGTTAAAACAAGGGACATAATGGCAGCCAGGAGAACAGAAATGACACACTTTCGCAATTACTTTATCTTTAATTACGGTTGTACTTTAATAGGATATTTTCCTTGAAAGGCTAAGGAGGATAACAAAACTATCCACTAGTAAAAAGGCAAAAAGGTAAAGTTGTCCTTGTGCTTAACTGCCATGAAGGCGTATGGGGGAGTGGATGCACAGATCCACATTTTCTTGACCTCGGCACTAACTTGAGGTGAGTGGTCACCTTCACGCCCCGGCCGCTTTACCTCCAGGGAAAGAGCCCGGGTACCCATCGGATAGGAGGTCGGGTTGGCTCCAGGGCCAGTATGGAGGATCTGGAGAGAATTCTTGACCGTACCGGGGCTCGAACTCCGACTCTTCAGTCGTCCAGCCCTCAGCCAGTCGCTATACCGACTACACTACCCCGGCTCCTAACTATCCATTAGTATATGACTTAATTCCCAGAAAGCTATTTGCAAACATTCTATCTTGAGAAGTTAATGGTCGAGCAGGTATTCAAAGTCTTAGACACTTAACGATTGACGCCAATCCGTCCTTCTCCCCCTCCCCCATCCCGTCACTGTCGTGACCTTTACTAACTTTGTTATCACAAAGCATTCAGGCAGCTAGCAACAGTATGATGCCTCTGTACACGTTTTCATATTTTGTATTAGAAGTACTATGTCCTCGGGTGTGACGCCGTGAAGTCGGCTACAGGCCAGTCGAGAAAACCTGAAGCATCATCATCATCACAAAAGCCCACCATTTGATTTTCGTACTCTGGGTTATGACACCGTGCCGTCTAGTAGGTAGGAGAAGAAAACTGTTTCCATATTTCGCCCTGAAGAAGTTTCACCTTGTGATACGTGACTTTCACTTCACATGACAGGTCTCCTGGCTTGCCAATGTGTCGCGTAATTCTGTTAGCTCATTGCCAGAAATAAACTTGCCGTTGCTGCCGCCCCTTGCTTGCGTTCTTCCGAAACTTCTGTAAGACCACACGGCGCCACAAAAATCGTCCATGTGCTAAAATAAGTACCACGCCATGAAGCTTGGCAATAGATGGAGGCGAGCGTTAAGCTTCACGCCTTGACCGCTTTAACCACAGAGAAAGGACCCATGCATAGGAGGCTGGGTGGGTCCCAGAGTTGGTCTGAACGCTGGGGAGAAAACTGTTCGCCAAATATTACCGGTCGATTGAATTCAAGAGGATTCGATAAGCAGCATTTCTAGCAAGAATGAACGAAACGAGTGAGGTTAAAGTAAATTTATCTGTGCTTAAGTAATTAAGCATCATTCCATGAAGACGTATGGGGTAGTGGAGGTATAGCGCCACCTTTCTTTACCTCGGCACTAGATGGAGGTGAGTGGTCAGCTTCACGCTCCAGCCGCTTTGCCCCCCAGAGAAAGACGCTCCAGTAACCATTGGATAGGAGGTTGAATGAGTCCTCAGAGCCAGTACGAACACTGTGTAGAACAGAAAAATCTCTTGTCCCTGCCGGGAATCGAACCACGGCCTTCCAGCCCCTTAGCAGGCCACTATACTGCCTGAGATATTAGATGAGAAATACGTACAGAATTTCAGGAAAAGAGAACAGAATAGGCCGTGAGGTTTCTGTTTCACGACACATAACCAAAATATCGGATTCCATAAAATAAAATACATTAGTTATCAGGGTTCTTTCCGTGAAGAAAGGAAACTAGAGGGTGGTGATGACTCAACTCCAGCCAGTGAGTCACGGCGTCATATCCCTGACGAAGGAGGTTACACACCAGAACCGCAACATGTGACAACGCCGAGGTAACTGTGACATGTTTG